CGTTATATTCTTCTTTCCTTAGTTTTATTCCTTGTTATTGATCTTATTCTACCTTCAATAAAGCTCTTAAATTTTTAATAGGATACTTAGCTTCGGGTCTTGTCTCAAGGCTTCCTTTGTCCCCTGTTGCTTTTCCTGAAGTCTCGGCTTTCTAACGACGATTATTCTCGCCGGTTTGTCTCCTAGTTTCTCCCGCTTCTGGAGCAGCTTCCTTTACCCTGGGAGAGTCGCCACTTCTCCCATAGAAAGCCCAAGCTCCTTGCTGAAATTCTTTCTTAACCTAAGAACTTCTGTTCGATTTTTGAACAACTGTCTTTGAGAAATAGGAGAGGTTGGACGCTCGGAGCTCCCACTCCACGTCCTTCCTCGTCAAGACCAGAAACACCAGTCACATTTGAGTTCTTTCTGAACTGTTATATGTATGCCATCCAGGCCCAGTGATTTATCAGTTTTTAATTTCTCTGTCAGTCATAGGACCTCCTCATCACCTCAATCTGACTCAGGTCTTTCAACACCCCTTCCAAAATCAGCAGTTCTGGAGTGGGCAAGCAGTTCTCATCTTTCACAGTGAAGATAGAGGCAAAAAATGCCTCCAGCTTCTCAGCCATTTCCCTGTCATCCTTCAGTAATCCTTTTACCCCTTGGTCATCCACGGACACCCTGGCTCCCTGGCTCCTTTTCTGCTTCTAATGTATTTGAAGAAAGTTTTATTGTTGGTCTTCATGCTTTTGGCAATGCGCTCCTCATATTCCCTTTTTGTCTGCCTGATCACAGGCCTGCATTTTATTTGCCTCGCCTGTGTTCCCTTTTATCAACCTCACCGAGATTAGCTTTACATCGCTAGTCTCTTTGTACCTGAGCAGCACCCAGTTCAGTGGGTTCATGAGAAGACAGCACACAAGTAAAGCAGACCCCTTTTTAAATATATAAAGGTTTGTTGAGGATTTAAAAATAAAAGATCACTAAGCAGCCATGTTGCTGCAGCTCAACAACAGAAAAACCAGGAGAGGTAACTGTTCTAGCTAATACAAGAAATACGTGGTATTAGGTGGCACCTCTTTTACAGCGTCAGTATTCCAGGTGCCACCAAATGAGAAGGGAGCACTCACTGGAGAAGACCCTGATGCTGGGAAAGATTGAAGGTCAAAGAAGACGGGGACGGCAAAGGATGAGATGGTTAGACAGTGTCACAGATGCAACAAACATGAAATTGAGTGAACTTCAGAGGATAGCAGAAGACAGGGGGGCCTGGCATGAGCTGGTCCATGGGGTCGCGAAGAGTCGGACTCGACTGTGTGACTGAACAACAAAAATTCCAGGTGCAACCTAAATTATTTTACAGAAAACTATTCATCATGATGCAGCAAGTAAATATCAAGACATACTAGGATGGCATGAGCATAAAGTTAGCCTGGCTTCCCTCTTGACTATACACCTATTATACTTTCTACCTCTTAGGGTCAGGTGGTCCTAACGACCCAATCAAGGGTCCTCCATGATGGAATTTCCCAGAGGCTGTCAGCACCCTCCTAATCCCCCTGCCCTCCTGGCTACACAGCTGGATACAGTTCCTCACGAGTAAGCAATGGCCTTGAAACATATAGAAACGTTCACTGCAGGGAGGCTCGAATCACGAATGCCTGAAAGTCAGACCAGGCCACTTAATAATCACGTGAACCTTTGGGGGAACTACGGTGCTCTGCCTCACAGATCTATTCCCTTTATACTGGTTTGGATTGTGGACATTGATCTTGACCGTGGTTTTATCCTCCCAGAAGAGTTTTTGCCCTTGAATTTCTTTTCTTTTCTTCCCCATATAAGAATGATCACTTTCTCTCTCTTTCTGTCTGTTCCTCTGCAAACAAAGGCAGGAGTATAAGAGAGATGACGGTGGAGATAGACAACGGCCTGGCATCCAAAGAAAGGCTGAGGATTTCCTCAAGAGGATCCCAGGAACATATTTCCTTCCCAGATGAGCTGACTGAGAGTGAGTATTCTTCATGGTTATGTCAAGGGAAAAAGCAAGGACGTGCCACGGGGGATTTCTGGTTAACTTCCAAGCAACGTTTCGTACAGTCATAGAGCCCGCTGGGGAAGGAGGGAGGGCCTGAAATCTGGAGGCTCAGAAGCTCTTTCTGGGCAGGAGCTCATCTGTGGCACTTGAGGGGGTGAGGAATCATTAATACGAGATATTCTGGGGAAAAGTGGAGGGGTGGTTAAGATCAGCCAAGGTGGACGAGGCCAAAGTGCTGTCGCCAGTCCTTTTCCACTGCGGTCACGTAGATGCCTTTTACGTAGATGCCTTTGGACCTTCCCAGCCCTCCCAGGTGCTAACAGGATCTCGGTCTTTATTCCAGCAGAGGGTGATCAGAGGAAGGAAGGAAGTGAGGAAGCTCATCAGCAACTGCCAGATAATGTTAAAAATGAAGACCTGAAAGAAAACATCACGAATCGAGGCAGACCGATGAGAAAGAATGTCGATTGTATGGTTGAGAAGAAAGATGGAAGACAGCGTAATGTAGATATTCCAAGGAGCAGGATAATAAAAGCAAGCAACTCCATTGAATGCACAAAGTGTGGAAAAAGATTTGGTGTGAGTGAGAATCTTAAACAGCATAGCAGAACCAACGCAGGGAGGAAACCTTTTGAATATTCAGTGTGGGGAAGGAGATGCAGTGTGAGTGGGAATCTTCAAAAGCATCTGACAAACCACACAGGGAAGAAACCTTTCAAATGTTCAGCATGCAGAAAGAGATTCAGTTGGAGAGGCCATCTTCAACTTCATCGAAGAATGCACACAGGGGAGAAGCGTTTTGAATGCTCAGAGTGTGGAAAGACATTCAGTCAGAGAGGACATCTTCAACTGCATCAGAGAACCCACACAGGGGAGAAACCTTTTGAATGCTCAGAATGTGGAAAGAGATTCAGTGACAGTGCCCGTCTTCTACAGCATCGGAGAACCCACACAGGGGAGAAACCTTTTGAATGCTCAGAGTGTGGAAAGAAATTCAGTCACAGTAGCCATCTTCTAAACCATAAAAGGACCCACACAGGGGAGAAACCTTTTGAATGCTCAGAGTGCGGAAAGAGATTCAGTCAGAGTGGAAGTCTCCAACAGCATCGAAGAACCCACACAGGGGAGAAACCTTTTGAATGCTCAGAGTGTGGGAAGACATTCAGTCACAGTGGAAGTCTTCAACTGCATCAGAGAGCCCACGCAGGGGATAAACCTTTTGAATGCTTAGAGTGTGGAAAGAGATTCAGTCGGAATGGCAGTCTTCAGCTACATCAGAGAACCCATACAGGGGAGAAACCTTTTGAATGCTCAGAGTGTGGAAAGAGATTCAGTCAGAGTGGCAATCTTCATCAGCATCAGAGGACCCACAGAGGGGAAAACACTTTTGAGTTCTCAGTGTCCCGGTCCTGCACTGCCAGACCCAGACTTGGGAGCCACCCCAAGAGATACTGTCATGGCATGGATATGCAATCCCAGTGAAAGAGGACCCCCCCACACGGCACTGAGGTCATTGACAAGCCTTTGGCCATCAGCCTCCCGTACCACCGTGGCAGCTGTTGTTCTGGAGGGCCCAATGGGGCCAGGTGGAGCAGGCAGTGGCAGAAGCCCCAGAAGAACCAAGGATGGACCACAGCAGAAAGAGGCCGCGCCAGGGGGCAGCAGGTGGGGGAAGGGCAGCAGGTGGGGGAAGAGCAGCAGGAAGTGTCAAGAGCCCCAGAAGGCTGCAGAGACTGGCATGGGAAGCCAGGATGTAGACGGGAACCCAGGAGATCCCAGGCCTGGCAATAGGGCATGCGCCCTCTCCTCGGAGAAGCACTTCACAGGCTTTTTTCCAACTGGGTCCCACAGGGTCTGTTGGAGAAAGCGGAAGCACAGAGGTGAACAGCTTCACCCTGCTGGGTCCCAGGGGTAGATGGGTCCAGGCGGGCAGGCCCCATGCTGAGAGCTGGTAGAGTGATTTTGTTATTGGGGTAACCTGCAATGCTCCCCTCTAAGCTGTGATGTCTTGTGAGCAAAAATTCAACTTTGTGAGCTACTGGCATTAACATTGCAAGTTAGCATGATTTAGTTTGCTCTGGAGCCATCCTTCCTGGGCTAAGACAAAAAATGTGTGAGCTGGAGGCTAAAAAACAGTGAGCTAGCTCACACTAACTCAGCTTAGAGGGAAGACTGGCACCCATTCAGACATAAGTCTAAGCTCCCTTCACTTTAACAGCACTCCAAAATCGCATTCTTTGGGCACTACCTGGTCTGAAAACACAGCCAAAGTGGCTCTGGTGTCACATAAAACGGATGCCAGCAAGTCTGGGATGGGATTCTTCCCCCCCCCCCTCCTAAAAAGGAGAGAATTTTATTGCTTTTACATTTCAGAAAGTTAGGGAGGGTATATAGAGGGATAAAGAAAAGTGTTGAGTGATGTTAAAAATTAGTATATTAATCTTTTATTAGTAAAGTCAAAGTCAAAATCTTCTGCAGCTGGACAGTCCCTTTTTCTTCTATATCTTTCAAAACAGTTAGTTAGTGTGTTAATAATGTCCCTTTGGGATTAGTATTATCTTTTATTGCACTTTTCGAACTAGTTCGCAAGCATTGGGGTGCTTCCCTTTTTTGTCTCTTAAATTGTATTTTGGTCCTCAAGCCGCTCCTTTGTCTTCCTCATCTTTCACCTCTTCCTCTGAACTGCTGTCTTCTTCGGTAGTTCCTTCTATCCACTTAGCGAGTTCTGCCTCGTCCTCTGTACTGGCGTGCCTCTTCAAAAAGTCTTGAGCCTTGAAGATGGAGTCTATCTTTTCTCTTCTGTCTTTTTTTTAAATTTAAAAGCTTTATTCCCTCTCCTAAAAAGGAGATATATTTCGCTTAATTAGAAAGGGGGAAGGTATATAGTGGGATCAAGAGAAAGATGAGTGATGTTTTAACTGGTAAGGTTAATCTGTTAGTAATAATAAAATTTTCTTCTTTGGCTTCTTCTGTGTGTTGTCGAACTTCTTTCTTCAAACCGGTTATCTATGTTAATATGTTAGTAGTGTCCCATTGGTGCTTCGCTAGCAAAGTCTTTTTCAGCAATTTTTCATACGGTCTTCTACGGGCTGGCTTCTTTCAGTCTCCGAATTTGGGCAGGAATTTCCTCCGTTTACTTCTCTCCGACTTCTCAACTCCTCCCCCGGGTCGCTGTTTCCGCTGTCTGTCTGCAAATGCCGCAATCCTTGTTCTATCGTGCCTCTCCAAAAGGTCTCTAGCTTTGAGAATGGTTTTCTCCTTTTTCCATCTCTCGCTTTTAAGTTTAAACGCTGCCATTCTCTTAGCTGGACCTTCTCTCCATAACTGTTGACTTATAAAAGCGCTTTTGAGGGCACTTTCTCGCTTGTCAAAGTTCAATACGTTTCTCACAGTCCCAATCAAGGTCACAGTCCTTCACACGCCGGTTATTAAACAGCCGGCAGAACAAAAGATGAAACGCCTACACCGGAAGCTCCTCCTTTCTTGTTCGCTAGTTTTACAGTCCAGCTCCGACATCTTGTTTTTTTTATTTACTTTTATCAAAGTTCGTATAACGCTTTTTTTAAACACGAAAATCTTGTCTTTCCTCACAATGCACCAAACAGAACCGCTTCTTTTCTCAGATTCAATTCCCCCTTCCTTTACTTCGCTAAAAGTCTCTGTTTGCGGGAGCGAGGGATTCCCCTCCTCCCCCCTTAAATCTTTCCGCTGGGGGGGGGAACACGCTTAGCTCTTTTTCTTCGCGCTCGACAACTCACAACTCTTTTTCCTTTTCATCGCTTAATCGCTTCATCACTCGGTGACATCAGGTCGCTCCGCTAAACCCCGTGCGGGGTCGCTTACGCGGCAAGGTCCAATGGGGCATGGCAGTAGCCTCAATTTCCAACCGTTCGGCTGAGAAAGAGGCTCCCGCCTGCGCGCCCCGGGTCAGAGCCCCTCTTTCTGGGGCTCGTCTGGGTCTCCGCTTGCGCGGATTCCCCCCTTGGCCGCGGGCGGGCGAGACGCCCTCGGGAGCACCCCAAGGATGCGTCCGCCATTCGCGGAAGCCAAACCGGAAGCCCCTTTTCTCTTCTGTCTTTAAACTTAAAGACATGGGATGGGATTCTGAAGGTGAGACGTTATGGATTTGTCTGCTAATGACCTCGTCCCCAGCTTGAAACTGTAAGCGATGGCAGGAACGGGTCTTCCGGAAAGACATAGTTTAAACTTAAACGAAGCATTTCCCTACCTGGCTTGAACTTTCCTGACCTGTTTGCCATAATAATGATCAGGGGTCATTTTGTAGAAAAAGAGGTGCAGGAGCTCATTAGCATAACTCAGCATAACTTATTTGCATATGCCACACCCCCTGACATCACCGGAAATGTGTCAGAAGGCAACACCCACCACTCAGGCTCCACTGGGCTGTATTTTGAATTGCTAGCTATTGGGGGGGGCGGGAATGTGCAGATCTGTCCTCACAGAGGAGGGGGAGCTTGTACCGCAATAAAACTTGGTCTTAAAGGTGCCACTGGACTGTTTTGGGCCCGGGGGGGGGCTCTACAATTTACCTAGCTACTTCTTGCTCAGACAGGGTTGCTGGGAGCAGGGGGTGGGGCTTCTTGCATGTGCGCACCCCCTGGGCTCTTTACTGCCAGAGGTCCGCTCCTGTGCGCTCCTACAGGAAATGACCCCTGAAATGATACTGCTTCACACCTTTCAGCCGTCCCCAGTAGCTTCCCCTTCCAGCAACAGAAGGTCATCAAGCAGCCATTAACTACCTTCATTCACAACATCTCATGTTCCACCCAGGCTTTGTTCATTCCTGGGACTGCCATTCAACGTTTTCCTACAGAATTGTTCCAACCGGTGTAATTTATGCCGGCTGAAACGCGATCACACTTACCGCCCGTCTGCAGAGCCCATCGTTGTATGCCTGTTCACACACAGGGGGCGTCGGCGGTTTTGGTTTTTTTAACTCAGTTTGCCCATGCGCATAGGCAGCCATCCACAGAATGGCGATCTTCGCACATGCGGAAAACACCCCGTCCTGAGAAGCATGCCCTGAAGAGATGACTTACCTTTAAAGTTTAAAGACCAAACTGGCCTGTCTCAGGTCCCGGACTCCTCAAAACCATAAACTAAGGACCTTTTTAAAAAAACAAATGCTGGGGCAAAGCTTCACCCGGGACGGAAGGCAGATGTTCTACGTGTGAACGCCGGTAAGTACACCGATTCCAACCTGCACCTATACCGTTGTAAATGCCCCGTCTGAACGCACCCTTGGAGTGGGGAGAATCAGGTTCAAGTCCCCATTTTGCCATGAAGCTTGCTGGGTGTCCTAGGGCCAGTCAGTCTATCTCTGACTGACAGAGCATCCCTTGCCCCGGACTCAGAGAGTTCCTATCTATACCTTAAGAACATAAGAGATGCCAATGTTGGATCAGGCCAATGGCCCATCCAGTCCAACACATCTGAGCAAAAGCTCTCTCTCTCTGTCTAACCTACCTTGCAGGGTTGTTGTGAGGTGAACTCCTTCGAGACAGGGGCTCTGGGTTAAAACGGTTTTCCCAGCAATTCCTCCTTTCCCCATGTTATGAGGAGACAGGCAAAGGTAAAGGTTCCCTTGCTCGAAAGCCAGTCAAATCTGACTCTAGGGTTGCAGTGCTCATCTCCGTTTCAAAGCCGAAGAGCCAGCACTGTCCGAAGACGTTTCCATGGTCATGTGGCTGGCATGACTAAACACCAATGTGCACGGAACGCTGTTCCCTTCCCACCGAAGTGGTACCTATTTATCTACTTGCAATTTCTTGCTTTCGAACTGCTAGGTTGGCAGGAGATTAGGAGACAGACAGACACACAAAGAAAAGGAAAACTATTAGTATCTTAACTGATGGAAACATCTCCCTGAAATGACTTTCTTTGTGCATGTCTGCCAACTTGGGGGGGGATCCTTGGGGGTGGGGGTGGACACTTTGGGAGGAAGGGGCGGGGCACCCAAGGGGGTGGGCAGGGATCCCCATCTGCCGAGCACTGCCTGGGCCAACCTGCCGCTCGCTGCTCCTGTACTGTTTATTCGGAGGTGGGGGGCAGCGACCCCTTGAAGGGTGTGTGTGTGTCCGAATGCAGCCTCCTTTCCGGGCATCCGGGCTCTGCCCTCCACCACCTCCAAGAATTACTGTCCAAAACCCCCGCAGGGGCTCCCTCTGGCCGCCCACAAGGTCCTCCCGCAGTCTTCTCTCCCCACCTCGGCGCAAGGGCAGCGCCTCCTCCTGGCCACTTTGAGAGAGAAGAGCCCGGAGTGTGTGTGGGGGGTCCCCTCAAGTCTAGCCGCCCCATCCCCAAAATGGAGTTTGACGGTCCTGATGGGAGGTGGATAACCAAGGAGTGGGGGATGGGGACAGGGACGCTGGACCTGGCTTAAGAATATAACAACATAAGAGAAGCCAATGTTGGATCAGGCCAAAGGCCCATCCAGTCCAACACTCTGTGGCACAGAGCGGCCAGAAATACCAAGGGCCATCAGGAGGTCCAACAGTGGGGTCAGAACTCCAGAAGCCCTCCCACTGTTGCCCCCCACCCACCCCCATCACCAAGAAGACAGAGCATCACTTGCCCCAGACCCAGAGTTCATATAAGAACATAAGAGAAGCCAGTGTTGGATCAGGCCAATGGCCCATCCAGTCCAACACTGTGGCAAACAGTGGCCAGAAGTACCAGGGGCCATCAGGAGGTCCAGCAGTGGGGCCAGAACTCCAGAAGCCCTCCCACTGTTGCCCCCCACCCGCCCCCATCACCAAGAAGACAGAGCATCACTTGCCCCAGACCCAGAGTTCATATAAGAACATAAGAGAAGCCAGTGTTGTATCAGGCCAATGGCCCATCCAGTCCAACACTCTGTTACTCAGTGGCCAAAAATACCAGGTGCCCTCAGGAGGTTCATCCCCCCCCAAAGCGCCAAGAATATAGAACATCATTTGCCCCAGACATAAGAACATAAGAGAAGC